AATAACGGCCACAAGTTGTTGGAGAGGAGGTTTAGATTAGACATCCGTAAGAACTACTTCATGGTCAGGGCGGCTAGGAGCTGGAACCAACTTCCAAGGGAAGTGATGCTGGCTCCTACCCTGGGGGGTCTTTAAGAGGAGGCTGGATGCCTACCAGGCTGGAGTCATCTGAGCCCAGTTTTTTCTCCTGCCCAGGCAGGGGGTCGGACTTGAAGATCTACAAGGTCCTGTCTGACCTGACTTCTGTGATTCTATGATTCTAGTCAGCAGATTATTTTTTTTCTTTAAAGTGCAGCAATGAAGGGAGTGACATAAATCCTCTACTGAAATTGTAACTATTCCATAGGCCTATTTCTCAGTCTCCCACTGCATTTTCGAATTAATTTTCTATGCTACAGATCTTTACAGTATGCTTACTTGATGTGCAATATGAGGAAGTCAATGTCTGTGGAGAAAGTACAGGTATATATCCACCCCTTCCTAAAACAGAGCACAAATAAATGATCCAATTCTGCTGTCTCCTACTGTATTTAGTGTATTCGTTGCCTGGATTGAAAGGCTCTAGGACTTTAAGAAAGATTAGATTAATCAGAAATATTATGAGTAATGAGTAATATTTATCATAGTGCTTTGGAACTTTTCAGTAAATATGGGAAGAACGTTCTGAGGCTATTTTGGCCATAAATCATGTGTGCAAGTGCTTCAGCATGTTTTATTTTCTCTCATTTCAGAGGCTGTAATTCCCTACTGGGTTGACAGCTCCACCATTCAAACCTCCTTTGTGGGCAGGCAGGAGTGGATTACCGTTACAGAGGACTCTTGCATACTGAAGTAGGAGTTTCTACATCAGCCACAGTGTACTGCATGCCTGGCTGATTAGGCACAAATCATTTTTTTAGGGTAACGGAAAACAGTGGCCATTGCTGTATGTTCTCACATATAACACACCCCAGAATAAGATATGCACCTTCTTTTTGCAAAGGCAGAATGAAGAAAAAAAAGCTTTACCCAGAGTTATGGCCGATAGATCAGGGACAGAGATAAAAAGTCTGCAAGCTATGAACAGGAGAGACCAGGAGTAGCTAGCAGAAAGCAAAATTGCCAGAAGAAAGGTTAGTTTGATTAGTGGAACATCAAGACTGTTTAAAAGGAGAGATGATTGTTCACACCTGTGAAGAACAACAAAGCAGTAGGGCAACTACCATCCTCAGCTGCCTGAAAATAAATCCCATTAATGCTGCTGTTGGGCAGTAGGTTTTTGGAGCAGGAGTCAATGTGGGAGACTTCTCTTCTGGGCAGAAAAGTCAGCTTCTCCACTTAAGACATGCAGCCCGGTTCTTGGGGAAAACTAAAGTGGTGTGTGCAAGAAAATATGGTATTATAGCTAGGGACCTACCCAAATCACAATTACGAGATATTCATGGAAACCGCAATTTTGGGTGGAAAAATGGTGGGCTCCATGGCTTGCTGCAAAAAAACCCAACTTACCAGAAAGCAGAGAAAAGGCCAGGAAGCCCTGCAGTCTTTGGGGTGGCGGGGCAAGGTGGGGCTGCCTCTGAGCCTCCTGCTGTAAGGCCTCCTCCTCCCAGCTTCCTTCCCATCCACTGCCCCCCTGCCCTTCCCCCTCTGTCTCCCCCTGCACCCAAAGGTTTAAAGCCAGCCACCTCCTCGAGTTCAGCAGACCCCCAATTATAGCTCATAGGCTTTTCTTGGGTTTTAAGTGAGAAGGGGAATGTCAAGCATAAGGAATATAAGCAGACTTAAACCAATCCAGTCTGTGGCAGCAGCACCATCTTGCAACAGCCCAAACTCTGAACTAAGGCCTGATTCAGATGCACATTCCTTTAAGGAAATAACCTGACTCTTGGAAGTCAATGTCCTACTTAAAGACATATATTTAGGCTGTGATCTAGGAAAGACACTTGTGCAATGTTAAAGGATTGCTTAAGAAATGCAATATTTGAAAAGTTTCTTCAAACACATTAAGCTTTGCCTTGGACAATTATTACATGGTGCCTGGGCTGACTGGTCAGGCTACAGTACTGGGGGAAATGGATCTGCGGGGTTATAGTGGCCCATAAGGTGAATAGGAACCAACAATGTGCTCTTGCATACCAGGCTGTATCAACAGGAGCATTGCTTTTAAGCCAAGGGAAGCGATTCTTCCATTCTATTCAGCACTCACCTGGATTACCACATCCCATTCAGGGCATGGCAGGGCAAGAAAGACTTAGACAAATTAGAAAGAGTCCGGCAGAGAGCAACAAAAATGATTAGAGGTGGAGGAAATATGGATTGCAAGGAAAGACTGGAAGAACTGGGATAATTTAGACTGGGGAACAGAAGACTGAAGGGGGACTTAATTCAACCCATCAAAAAGCTGAAAGGTCAGGGGCAGATCCAGAGGGAGTGCAGGTTATGACCATGACCCCCTTTCTGACCACACCGCAGGAGCAGGAGCAGAGACTTTGTAAAGTACCAAAGAAGGTACAAATTCTGCCCTCCGTCCCCTCTGTGCTCAGTGCACCCCCTTCCCGCCCATTTCTCCCTCTCCCTCCTGCTGCTGCCGGTCTCCCTGCTGTCACAGGAGCAAGGAGAGCTCCTCTTCCACTCCAGCTGCTCTGTATGGGGACTGGGGTGGGCACAGCCCAGGACAGCAGCAGCAGCAGCAGTGGCCCCCTCCCACCCCGACTATCCCCCCCTCCCGGTCCAGGTATTACCTGCCAGCCGGGGAGCAGGTGTAGGGAGGGGGAACCCATCTGCTGCTGCTGCTGCTGCTGTCCAGGACTGAGCCCAGCCCCTGCACAGCATGGCTGGAGCAGGACAGGAGCTCCCCTCACCCCCAGGACAGCAGCGGCAGGCAGGGGAGAAGGGAGAGGAGATGCCTCTTAGGATGGAGGGGGAAGGCGTGGGGAACTCTGACCTTCTTTGGAACTTATAATAAGTTCCCAGCTGCTGCTCCTGTGGTGCAGCCTGCCTGCCCCAGTGGGCAGGGGCAGGAGGCTGGAAGTGGAGGGGGCAACCACCCCTAGACCATCATTTGCTGCTCCCACACCCCCTGTTGAACAATCCTACATCTGCTTCTGTGAAAGGTGGTTACAGAGGGGATGGTGACAGATTATTCTTTGTGGTTGCACAAGGGAAGAGAGGGAGCAACAGTCTTAAATTGAAGCAAGAGAGATTTAGGTTGGATATTAGGAAGGTGTCTTTTTTACTAGCGGGGGTTAAGCATTGAAACAGATTACCTAGAGAGGTTGTGTAGCTTCTTTTCTTGGAAGTTTTGAAAAGCAGATTAGACAGACATTGGCTGAGATGGTTTGGACAAGGATGATCCTGCCTTGAGCAGCACTGATCTACATGACCTACTGAGGTCCCTTCCAGTCCTACTTTTCTATGCTTCTATGACTATATATTAGAGGACTGTCTACTTATTTTCTTAAAAGGGGCAGTGGAAATGATACCGGTAGATATGCTGGGTTCTGCGGTTTCCAGAAGTGTAGGATTTTTATACATGTACACATAGATTTGTCTACAATTGAGGTCAGGTTCTCTTCTGTTGTTTCAGTGACAAGAAGTAACACTGTGTGTCACCAGCTGAAAATGTCCCTTGGTATAGGAGGGCTCTCGGGTGGCAAACAGCAGTATATCTAACTGCACCTGGCTGCTCCCTTCCTGCTCTTCAGGTGCTGAGGATATTTTGGGGCTAGAAATTAATGGAACGGAGCAGGCCTGTGCCTTGCAAAATCACAACTGCTTTTTAGGGATTACAGCCAGTGGCATTAATTAAACAGTTGCCTAGCAGCCAGATTTATGCTGATAGGTAAAAACTAATGTGATTAGTGAGATGAAATTGCTACCCCCTCCCTGCCCTCTCCCACAACTACATTCCTGTGCCAAACAGCCTTCAGCGCAGGAGAGCATCATTAGACATCACTGTGTTTCCCTTCCCTAGTCTGGATGAATAAAACAGCATCTTTGATAGATTATACAACTCGCATGCTCTGTGGTATTATTTATTTAGAAATCGTGAGTAAACTACAGCTGTAGTGTTCTCATTTTTCACAATTCTGATAGTTCAACAAACTGGGAAAACATTGGCATATTTTTATTAAGGTACAAAATACACCCCGTTGTTACCTAAACACATATTTAAAACTTGTGAGAAAAGCTCTTATGCTCTAAATCAGATGAAAAATCTTTTCCTTATAAGAAGTTGTGGCAATACGGTGTTTAGTATAACAAGAGTTCTTTATCGATTTAAAAAGAGAAGACATGCTGGCAATATTAACCTAGCAACAGAGAGCAAAGCAGTTATAAAAACCATTGTGTGATCCACATTAGCGGAGTTTGAATTGTTATTTTAAAAACACATAGAAGAGCAGATAATACAAAACACATAAAACTAGGTAATATCAAACATCCTAAAGTTGATATTGTAGACATCTGCATTAAAGTAACTTGATACTTTATTCTGAGGCTCTAAGTTAATCTTTTTTTAAGGTACCCTTTAAAATCTTTGCACTTCAAAAACACACGCTAAGTGGAAAAAGAAAATAACCACATTTGGAATGATGCATAGCTACTGAAATTGTATTGTCACTGGATTATGCATATCAGCTTATGGCCTCTGATATTACCCATGAGCAACAAAAATTAAAAAGTGCCATTATTGTGAAAGGAAAGCAAAGTTACTACGTCTGAGTGCATTAACTGCCTCTGAGAAGAGATCAGGTTTTTTAGATTTTTTTGTTTGGTTTTTTTGCTTTTTTTTCCCCCAACAGGCAGCAGCCTTCCTGATACAGCTTTAACACAGACAGTAGACTGTCGGGCTCTTAGGGCACACACGATTCTTTGGAAATTGCTTGGTATAAAGGAGTTTACCATCCAGACTCTTTTTTTTTCTTGACTATTTTAACACCTCTGGTAGTTTCCAGCTGATCATCAGTTGAAATCTGTTCCGTAACGGCCACATAAATAAAGTAAAAGGACATTTTTAACTAAGCTGGCTTTCTGCACACATAGACACACAAGTCACTGGATGTGTAATAACCTATATTTCACAGCAGCAAACATATGAACCATGAATCTTTATTAAACTGACAAGCACAATAGGAAGTTTTGTGGTGCTATATATTTTCAATCTGTTCCCTAAGGCACACCCCTGTGACTTCACCAAGGTGACAGATACCTTAAAGGAAAGATGACAAGTTAGAACTGCTTGGTTAAAAGGAAGGAAAGAAATATTCTCTCAGAGAAGCTCCTGGAGATCTAGGATAAGCAGTATTACTATGATTAACAGCAAACTGGAAGAGAAAATTAATGTATGCTTAAAGGTAAGACACAAAAACCCACTATTAAAGATGAATGAAACAGAAGGAAAGACCCAAATTGTTTCATTTCATCCCAACGTGCAAATTGCAATGCTAACTACAGTATCACCTTCACTCGCAGTTACGTGAAGGAATGACTTCACTGTGGGAGAAGTCTATGGCCATCGGACCAAACCGGTCGACTGTGTGTTTGACAGAAGATATCTAGCCCAATGGTAAATGCAGATCTTGGGGAGCCATCACAGCTATGGTATTAGCTGATGGAAGTGATCGTGTAAACCAAACAATCTCGCTAAATGCAGGTTTTATGAATCCAGGGCATAATTAAGGATTTGCTTTCCATATGATTGTTTCAGTATAAAATCAGGCTGGGCAACTTCACTGATTTAAACTAAATCCAATCCCAACAGCAACTTAAAGTGCCTGCCGATTCCAACTAATGCCCATAAATAAAACAAACAGGTATCAACTGATCATGCTGAAGAAACAACCCTCCCCCGGTGACCTAAGCATCACTCTAGGTGCTTTTAATAACTTGGTTTTCTGAGCCTTGGAGATAAAGTCTTTGTAATGTGTTTTTTCAATTGTCTCTTTTGTTGAGTTGTTTCATTCCTCCTCCTCCTCTTCCTCCTCCCCTTCTTTTCCCATTGTTTCCACAAGGAGATCTGCGGTGCAAGTTGCTTCCCCAAGGCTATTAACAGCTTTGCAGGTGTATTTGGCGTCATCGTCCCCACAAACTTCAGAAATAGTCAAAGAACAGTTCCCGTCCTCGTCGTAATCTATCTGGAAGTGACGAGACTCCTTAATGGACTGGTCATCTTTGTACCAGATCACCTCAGGGTCAGGGTAGCCTGTGACAGCGGGGAAAGAGCGGCTGTTGCAGTAAACCAAGACATTAAATTGCATTCATCTCTACTTCTGTTAGGTTCACATGGATTTCGGCATGTCTGTAAATCTAAGTCTGTCAAACCCTAATTAAAGTACATTAAAAAGATCTACTATTTTAACTATACCTTTATCTGACGCCTCTATACTACGAATAATACAAGTGTGAAATGAAGGCTGTAGGTATGGGAAGTCGCCTTCTCCTATACTCTAACTAGAATAAAGTAGAGAGCCTTTCACAGCAACTCATTCATCAGCCAAGGGAAGACTTGAAACTCTTACGGCGAGCCTCTACAGCCCTTCAGAACGCAAAGTCTTTCTCTGCAGTCCCCAGTGCTTAGATTGTGGTCCGTAGCTTTACCTTACGGCAGCCTCGCAGGCACGAGAGCTACTCAAAATCTTTGCTGTGTTCACCATGGTGAGTTTGGGAGGAGGGGGTCCTTGAAAGGCAGACTCTGGTTGCCTTTTGCAATACCTGTGCAGAAATATTCTCTGAGCCAAATTCAGGCCTTTGAGGGTCCTTTTGTGCTACTCTATAAAGGGCCCAGACAGCGTGTGGATCTCACCCCAGGAACAGAACACATAAAATCTGTACATCCTCTTTCCTCCTGCATTTTTTACTCTTTTGATAAAATATTACACCAGTGATCCCCTGTCAGATGCATATTTTCCCTTCTCTCTTTTGTCATGAGTTGTTTTGGAAATCCCTCCTAATTTTTCCATCCCTTTTAGAGGCCCTCAATAATATTTTTGGCACCATCACTCATACTGAAAACAAGACAGCCCTCCTCCGCACTTGTTCCAGTCTGAATTCATTCTGCTTGACTAGAGATAACCCCGTACTCCCAATGAGATCTTGCCAGTGTCTTTTATGTCACTGACACTTTGAAATGCACTGCTCACTACATCCTAGGGCTGCACTTGCCCTTTCACACCCCCATGCCTTGGTGGCTTCTAGTCAGCTTGTGATTGACTAATGAACACAGGTCTTTCTCTTCTTTGGTCTTTTCTGACTGATGAGCCCCAAGCTTGTAGCTGAAATGCTTAATAGCTCCTAAGTATATGACTTTCCAGTTTGTATTATTACATTTTATCTCATTTTTATTATTCCCATCCTCAAGGTCATTGTGACATTTCAATGAAGTGCAGCACTGTAATACCCGGTTTCTTCTCCATGGCAAGCACAGAATATCGCCAAGCTGCTCAAAATGTATTCCACTATTGCAAAAATAAATAAATATTAAAAAAAAAATCACACTGCAATGCACAGATATTGGTAAAGCTGAAGAGAACCATAGCAAAAAGGCAGGCTGGAGGCAGAGAGATGGCAGAGTAGGGGGAAGAGAGAAATGAAGACACACATTCATTTAACGTACCTTCAATTTTGCAGTCAAATCTAGCAGCACTTCCTTCCACAACTTCTATATCAAGGATGGTTTTAGTAAAATATGGCTTTACATGGGGCTTTTCCTCTACCACTTCTTCAAGGAAATCTAGGAGAAAAAAAGGAAGGTTAGTTATGTTATAGAGGAAAATCTCTAGTGATGAATTTGAGGTTTGGATAACCAAACAATTGCTGAAAAGTGCCCATTATTTCATTTCTCTTCCTGCTAGATACCAAATGGACAAGTGGAAGAGTTGCCTTTTGCTTTCATGTGTCTTTAACAGTTAGACAAACAGTCAGATTGTGAATAGAAGAAGGTATGTATAAGGCAACACAGCATCAATTCTTCTCCTTCCCCTGAGTTTGCCCAGGCCATGGTATTGGGCCTTTACTGGCAATTGGGACAAAATGTTCTAGCTTGCATTCTGTTTAAAAGAGTTGCTATTGACTGACATATCATTCATCCTTAGCAGAACTCACTGCATACATAAAATTATCACTACGTTGTACACATTATTGAAGTCTCTTACCTTCATTTCTATATTTTCTCTGACATATACAGATACCTAAAAGAGTGATACAAGTCTCAGGACTGCTGAACACCTGCAGGTCTGACTGACATGCATGACCGTTATACGGAGTACACCTGAAAATCAGGTAACTTTTTTAGGACCCTAAATATAGATTTGGGTGGCTAACTTTGGGCACTCGTGTTGGAAAATTTTGGCCTTTGAGGAGAAGTGGCAGAACCGTGTCTGGGAACAAAGGATGGAAGACGTGATCCACCTCCAAGGAGGGATACTCTGCACTGGTCCGGTCCTGCAGGGAGCAAACCAGGAAAGCCAAGGCTGCGACTGAACTCCAACTAGCTACAAGTATCAAGGACAATAAAAAGTCCTTTTTTAGATATGTGGGGAGCCAGAGGAAAAGCAAGGGCAACATTGGACCCCTGCTGAACCAGAAGGAGCAACTGACAACCGATGCCCAGGAAAAAGCCAACTTGCTAAATGAGTACTTTGCATTGGTTTTTCACCAGTCCCAAGGGCCACCTCTGCCCATTACAGGACAGGAACGCCTGGGCGAGGATGATTCCTTTCCCTCCATTAATGCTGACCTCGTGAAGGAACACCTTGAGAGGCTGGACACCTTCAGCCGGCCCTGACAATCTACACCCCAGGGTACTCAAGGAGCTGGCGAACATCATAGCCCAACCCCTGGCACGGATCCTGGCGCTCTGGTGAAGTGCCCGAAGATTGGAAGAAGGCCAATGTGGTGCCTATCTTCAAGAAAGGGAGGAAAGTGGATCC